GTTAAGGCAATTTTTTGCCATTCTGCTGTTGAATTCTTAATTCCTGTAGGACAGAGTAAGGCATTTGATTGTTCACTGCAATTCTCCATGTATCTGCCAACATGCTAACAGATTAAATAAAATCTTGAGGTGCATGGAAACCATGAACAAACTAACATGCTTAATGTGCGAAGTAAGAAATACTCAACTTTGCATTCACATGAATAATAAAGATTTGAAGATAGGCTGATTTATTGGGTAACATAAGATAATGAACTTAGGGAACTTCATATGGATTCTTACTTTTGACATTGGATTGTAACAGTAGAGATAATTGAGTATCATTTTTTGGATTTATGTGTTTATGAAAAAGAGCTAATCATTGACTTCACCAGTTAACTCCTTGTGTGACTATGTATTAATTTCACGTGGCAATTTCTTAGAGGATAAAGCCTTGTTTTATGCCAAGAGAAATGGCTAAAATCTCTACAAAATTATTTGTAAAAAGAATATTCTATTGTATCTTGTATTGTAGTTGATTTTACTGGACCCATCTCATGTACTGATGATTCCATATTAATGATTTTGGAGCATGGCAGGAGGATGTCACCTTCCTCAATAGGTACATGAAGATCTATTCACTTAGGATACATCTTCAATTCCTAGCTGTACAGATACCTATATCAATGTCAGGAACAAGATGACATTTCCAAATGAGAAATAAATACAGAGGGCCCAATAAGTTAACTACCGTAGAGAGCAGCTAGTTTGGATCTGTCATCAGAGTCATAGAATGGACAAAATTCTTACATTTCTACAAGGCATGATGCTGGCGTCCAAGTCGTTAACATGTTAACTTTTGGAGAACGCATATCCAAATTGTGATTTTGTTTTTTTGTTTTTTTGCTAGAAAAGTGTTTTCTTCACTCTAAGAAAATGTAGTTTTATATTTTGGCTAAACATTTAGCATAACTCTTGGCATAATAAATGAAAATAGAAAAGTGAATTTCAGAAAAACTGTGTGATGTACACTTAGATATCGGTTAAAAGCATTGTGAAATGACAACATCATTAGCAGGACGACAAATTCCTGTGTGGATGATTGACTTAAACTGTTTAAACATATAAACAGCCTACCCAGATCTAGGAGGCGAAGAGGAACTAGCTAGGAAAAATCTGGATTCAGTTTCTTATATATAATCCTGAGATTTTTGGATTTTTTGATAAGAAACATACAGAAGGAAACTATAAAAGAGAGCAGAAAGTAGAGATGGAGAAATGGATGGAAATGAAGGTACAGAAAGTGGAAATTAAGAAGTGCAGTATAACTGAGAGGACTAAGAAATTAAGTGATCCTGTCCAACTACTCAATATTAAAGGAAAATTAAATATCTTAAGAATCTACTTTTGATACAGTGAATTATGACTAAAAAGCTTAGAGTGTCATGTTATTGAATAAGGAAAGTTGTAGAACTATTAAACACACACATTTACATATATATTTATATATGCACAGATATGTAAAATGGCCAATCTTAATTCTGTTCAAAAATATACCAACAGAAGGAATAACAGTGAGGAAGGGGATGGAGAGAAGGAGGTGAACCATGGGGAGAGGCACAGGAGGAGCAGGACAAATGAGGCCAGGGTGCAGGAGGAATTCGAAGTGAGAGAAGGAAGGGTAAGACAGGGAAGGGACCATAGAAAATACAGAAAAAAGAAAAACCTCCCAGGGAACAGAAGATCCTGTTTTGCTGCTTAGAATAAATATCCCTATGCATGTTTAATCTGCAGTCTCTGGCTCACTCTGAATTGAGGTTTCTGTGAAGCCTGGGCACTTCCTCTGCATCAACAGCGGGCTCCACCCCTTTCTTCACACCCATGTCTGGCACTTCTGTCCCCAGGTCCAGAAGAGTCTCTTGGTTCCAAAGCAATTTTCTCAACCACCCTGCAACCTGATCTCAGAGGCACTGGAGGACATGGCTGGGACAGCCTTGCAGCAGCCAGGGGTTTTCTCCACCTATCTCACTGAACTTGCTCTACCAGCAATTTATGTTTTTGTGACTCTTCTTTGCCACACTGCAGAACAGTCTTCTGGAAAGCAGATTTTGCTTACCTATCTTTGAAACCTTATGCTGCCCAGCAGATGTGATTTGCTCTTGGAGTACCACGGATTTTCTGAAGTAGCCCTAATAGTGTTTACAACACTTCTGGGACTCTTGGATAGTAGATTCATGTGTTGAAAACTAACTGTCCGTGCAAATCCACAGAGAACGAAAACATAGATACTTGACTGAAAGGGTCAGCTGCTGAACATTTCTCAAACATCCACTTTTCTGGGTATTTGTTAATGCCACAGAAGTCCCATGACCTGATCAGGCATCTCTGAACAGTAGATTACTCTGTTTCTGGGTTGAAGGCAAGCAGAGGTCTTTTATCAGCACCCTGTGGTGGATTACCTGAAGTCGTCCATTTGTATTAGAAATTAGCAATTTACAAGAACAGTATGCATGATGTTGCTGCTGGGTTAAGGTAGCACACTAAGATTTTGTACCATTGCAGTGTCATTCCTTGCCTAGCTCCATTCCTAATGAAGTCCTCTTTTCTTTTGGAAATATTTGCAAATAAATTGGAGTGATGTAAAATCAGAAATATAATACCAGCAAAACCCACAAAAATGCATTCTCATGTCTACTTTTATTTTTCTGAATTTTAAAGCAATTAAGACTGCAATTTGAGAAAGCAGACAAGGTTCTTGGGTTCAGGAGGAATAAGAAGTTGATGCTTTGGTTTAAGGCAGAGGATTCTGCGGCTTTCTGAAATTTTGTGTCATAAAATTTAAAGATACATACAAAACTCAGTAGCAATAAGTCTGCCTATGAGGGAACTAGAAAACCTTCCTATAATTACAGGAAAATGTCCTTTTTATAGATTTTAAATAATTTTTCAAAAAATTGCCTTAATTCCAATGTGTAAAGGTGGAAAATTGTGATTCTCTCTAGAGCTGTGGAAACTCTGCTAGTTAGCCCTGTATTTTTAATCTGAAAAAACATTTGGAAAGAAACAATAAAGGCAAAAAAGATAAAGGGAGAATATGGGATGATACTTGCTTTGAGGTACTTGCTTTTAACATAGATTTGTGTTTTCCATCAGTGTAGAGGCCTAACAGTGTCTTATCCTTTTCCAACATTGCTTTCCTTTTGTTTCCTTTGTCTTTCTCACTTTCCTTCCTCCCATCATTGTCCCTCTCTTTTAATCCTGCCCCTTATTTACTTTTGGTCTTGAGGATGTTGAATTGGATGAACCCCATCATCAACTATCTGGATCATTTAGGAAATACAGCAGATACAATGCCTTCTGTATTCTAAGGAGAGATGGCCATTTTGAAGCCCTCCCGTCAGATCACTCAGAGCCAAAATGCATGTGTCCAGTCAATTCCTGACAAGCTTTGTTCATAAATACAGTCATTTTGGGGATGAGGACATGATATAGTTAAGTCTAGTAATGTAACATATCCAAGGCTCATACCCTATGCAGTTATTGTAGGATATAATTATTCATTGGTTTAGACAGTAAAGCAGAGTTCCATCTCACTCTCAATGAATGTCTGTGATTGAACTCAACGTCTGGATTCCCTGAATGTCCACAAGAACAGGGAGAGAGGAGAATGTGTGAAACCTGGAAGGGTTTAAGTATACATGCCACTCCACAGCTTGGCGTGGAGATGATTGGTGATTTTCCTGGGAGTCCAGTGATGGCTGGCTGATTTCATGCCCATTGTCTTCTGCCAGGTACCTTCATGGTTGAAGGACTTTGCTAGAGACTGGAAGGACTTCTACAGTTGACAGGGCTGTGCATTCCACAGGAAGGTCCAGTCAGAAAAATTTTCTGGTGCAGACACTGGACAAGAGTTATTCTCACTGTTGAGAGCCACAAAGTGCAACCCACATGAGACACATTTGCCACTTGAGAGGGAGGTTAAAGTGTGCACTTGGCAGCAATGGGAGGGGTATGAAATCTCCACATACGTCTGTGATACCAAATTTTATCAATTCTTCTGCCTGTCTACTCCACTACACCCCAGTCAGAGAAGAAGAGTTTAAGAAGAAAGAGGTTGGAAATCTTGTAGAAATAAACTAAATTGGTATTCTCTGCCATATGGCTAAGCCACCACAGAGAGAGTTACACTCATAACTGAGTGTAAGGTGGAGTTAGAACTAGACTGAATGGCCTCTGTAGGCTCAGAGTGAATGGAGCACATGGAATGTTTCCAAGCTGAAGAGGAAGAACTAGAAATGCAGTGGAACATAGCTGAACAAATGTGTTACTGAAATCACATTGCGTCATACAAACTGATCTTTTGTTCATCAAGTCTTATGCTATTTAGGGGTGTTTACAATAGATCTTGTGCAGTGACTCAGAGTATTGGAAATGTTAGCTGATTTTCAGAAATGGTTTGAGAGTTAACTGGACTTTATGGTATGAGTGGAATGACTTCACACTTTGATGACCACAAATCCAATTAATGTACTCACATTAATTCACTGTAAATCTAAAATAAGTTGTTAATCATCTTATTTGCAAGGGTAGTTTCTGTTACTTTGAGGATTGTCTTTTAATTGTAACTTGTTAGTATATATGAGTAGTACCTAATGTTTAGGTTCCTTGTGTGAATTTGGTGTGTGAATGTAACACATCCTAATTCCTTTTTTTATCCTTTATGCATTTTTCCCTCCCTCTGAGATAGAAAATTGGAAGTAGGGAAAAAGATCCTTTCACAGAGAAACAGTATCAATTGATATCAATTTCTCAACTGTAGTGCTATATTTTTGAGAGGTTTCAATTAAACAAAGGAAAGCAATTTTGACAATGTAAAATATTCAGTTTTTATTTTTTTGAGAAGTTTATTTTTTCTTTTTTGAGAAGTGTCAACTTACACATTACACCAAAGCATACACAAAATTATGTAAAACTAAAAGGATCTTTGCAATGCTTGGATCATTAAGAGGCATCTGGGAACATTACGAATGAATATGAGCTTTGCATTGCCTTTTCTTCTTGATTTTGCCTCTTATGACTCTCAGGAAAGTGTAAACTTTATCAGCATCCCTGCGCAGGCAGCGGCACAGGTGGTGAAAAGTTTGCCTGAAAACGTTTCCATCAGTTGACATCAGTAATGGGAGGTCATTCCAGAGAGTAGGTTGCTCACATTCTTTGACTTGAACGTTAGCCTAGTCACCAAGGAGAGATACAACATATTTCTCACAATATTGGTACTTTTTGTCTTTGAACAATTTGATTATCAGTTAAGAGCTGAAAATAGATGACAATGGAAACCTTTTGATAAAGGCATTTGTTTTCATGCATCTCACACAGAATCATTAAACTATTAGCCATCAAAAAGCTGGAAGCAGAAGCCATTTGTCCTTTTCCTGCCATGCATGGGATGGCAGGTGAAGTGAGCTCCTGCACGAACAGAGAAATGGACATCCATAAAGGTGCTGGTGGGATGTGGGGGCATTTGACACACAGACAATGTGGACAATTGTCATGCCCTCCCTCAAGAAATGCTGACATTTCCTGAAACTTGTTTCAGATTATCCCTTTGTATTTTATTTCTTCTGATAACTCATTGTGCAGTTTTGTTGTTTTTGACTGTATCTATTGTTCTCACAGTGTCTATAGAAATAAAGAACTTAGATATGATGAGCACTTGGTGCTTTAAGGTACAGGAACTCAATCTGGACAAAGAGATTATGAGTGTCTCTCTCTATCAAAAAATATCCCCTTCCAGGTTTCAATGAGGAGCATCTGCTTTCCATTGAGACACTGGCATTAACTTCTGAGAGAAGAAGGGCACAGGCAGAAGCCTTGCCTGGCTGGAATCCACTGTATAAGGACAGGATGCTGCTTCCAAAAAATGCAGCTCAGTGAAACAGAAAATCAGTAGATCTGCTGTCCTCACAGCCTCTACAATGTGAGAATAGCCAGAGATCTCTGAGACCTGAGTCCATCCAGAAGTCTGCAAAAATGTCAGAAGATGTCTAAAACTTGTAAGAACAAATCTGAGTAATGGCAGACTGTCATCTACTGAATTGTCTCCTAAAGCGTTGTAAAAACTTTTTATTCCAATTGAAAGAGTGTGTGTCTGTGAGTGCCTGGTGTCTGTACTGATGACCTCATTTTCTTTTTGTGGACTTTTGTTCTTACCTTTACTGTCTGGTTCCTTCCAGAAAAATTTCTTAAAATCTGTGTCAAGATAGAAACAGGAACAAATGAAAAATTGAGAGGAGAAATGAACAGAAGATGAAGCATTACAGAACAAATTATTGATCATTGAATTTGATCATTTGATCAGTAATGAAACAATTAAGCTGAAAAAAGTACTTATTATCTATGTTCCTTGTTTGAAAGATTCTTTCCATTACAGTGTTCTTATGAGTTGCAGGTAATTGTCTTTGATGATAATGACAACATGGTGCTATTAATAAGTGCTAAGAACATAAACAGTGAAATATATCATTGCTTATGTTATCATTGCTGTAATCCTGAATTTTTATTTTAATGAATACTTCTTTCTGAAAACTTCAGAAAGCCACTTACCTGTTACTGTGCTGTTTTTAAAACTGACCTAATTGAATGGAAATGTAATTTAGTAAAGCTACGACAAATTGTCTGAGGTGATTTAATGCAACAGTATGAGTTTTAACTTACAACCCCCAAAATAGTTTAATATAACACTGCATGAATTATGGAAATAAAGCCATATTTCAGGAAAAAAGTCACCTTAGTGGCTTAAAGTATTCATGCTATGCCCTTTTCATTGTCTTCACTATTGAGGATATTGGAGCTACCGTGCAACCGATGTGGGTATTTTCCTTTCCCACTAAATACAGTAAACTGTTAATTGTGATTAGCTTAGCCTGTGAGTATTGTGCGAGATGAGCAAACATGTCTACTGAATTTCAACCCCATAAAGCAGTGATGAGTTACAATATAATCAGTGTGTCCCAAACATCACCTGATCACTACTGGCTCTCTTCACCCTACATGGGTATACAGGTGCTTTAGATCATGAACAGAATAATTATCCTGACCACCCAAGTTTTCACCGAACTTTGGTGTGGGTGTAAAACAGAATTTCAGTGTTAGTGTCCTAGAACACTTTGAGGGATACACTTGTTTCAGGTTCCCTTGTATGAATTTCTTCTCAGGGGAAATGTGTAATCAAACAATGAATGCACAGTCCTGGCTACTTCCCATTCATTGCAGTGGGGATGGCCTCCTCAGCAATTTAGAGTTCTGAGATTCCTTAAAATTCAGTTCTACAATGCTTCCTATGCCTCTGGATCTGTGGAATAGCAAACTGGAAGTTGTAACATTCAGGCTGTTATTCCTGCAAAGCAAGGGATGTCACTCTACTTCCCAATGCAGAGCGGACCCTGAAAACCAAGAAATCATCAGGAGCTACCCACCTTCCTAGCTATTATCTTCAGCCCTTTTCGAAGTTCCTGCATTTTTTTCTCGATCAAGTCAGCTTCCTGCATGAAACTCATAGGAACGTCTGGCAGGCGAACTGTTTGGGCCTTGAAGTGGCTCATAGGGTCTTCCCAGGAGATCATCAAGCGGATCACCAGGATAATCAGATCCTTCTCCTAAGCAGCAGGTTGGAGCATGCCATAACAGAAGTGAGACACAGGCTGGTCAGTTACGGGTGACCTCTCGCTCACAAAGACCAACTGAGAAACTGATAGAAGATTCCAATGTATGTGTAAACTTTTTCTGTAGGTCATAGATGCTATTTTTTTTCCTTTGGTACCAGGGATTAAACTCATGACATTGGTTGGGTGTTCTAAACTGGTGCTTATACCACAAAGCTAAACCCTAACCTTATAGATGCTCTCAAAATTTACAAGTTAAGTCAAGTTGCTACAGTGAAACAAACAATCACATGAAAGGAGCTGATAAGAAGAAATATTTTAATAGAATTTCTAATTGATAACAATTTCTCAACATTGTTTTGCCTCCAGAATTTCGTGTTTTCATTAAAATCCTGTTAACATTGTGTCTATGGCAGAAAATCCAAAAAACATGGTTGTAACAGGAGAAAACAGAGCATGGATAAATTATGAAAGTTTGCTATCATCAGAGGAGAGGCCAGAGTCACACCTGTGAGCACAGTGTCATGATATCAAAGGGTACAGTCACAATGGGGTGACTTTCAGTGGAGACGGGGCCGGGCCCTGAGCAAGTGCATACTAAAGGAGTGGGCACTGCAGGAGCAGAAGCAGAAGCAGAAACAGAAGCTAAAGGGGAGAGAAGCCATTGCCATAGAGTGCAGGGTAGCAGGTCAGGATTGGAATCACCACCCATGCAGAACCCATGCTACTCTTCACTGGGTAAATTGCACTTGCATTTCTCACTTAAAATCCTAGTTTTGGGTGTTGAGATAAGATCATCTGCATTTCCAGCTTACAGATCTTGCGCAGTGTTTATTCAGCACTGAGTTTTCCCTGGGTTTTCCAGGTACAGTGTGATTGCTCTCATTGCTCTCTATCCTGCTGCTCTGCTCTGCAATGTGGCTCCTGTGACCACAGAACACAGCGCCCCTTAGAGACTATAGCCTGCCAAGCCAGACACTGGCTCCTAGGTACTGGTAGTGCTGGGCAGGACTCACCTTCATCTTCAGGGTCTCTTCCTTGTTGTCCGGTGTGACAATTGAGGCTGTGTGGCACCTTTTCCTATACACGAAAAAGAAGTCTGTGTCCAGAGAGTACCGGGTTGCCTGGAACAAACAGGAGATCCAGTGAGTGGGGCTGAAGAGTGAAAATAGGAATACATTCACTTAATGTGGTTACATCTAATGCATGTGTAATTGTCTCCAAGGAGGGCTGCAAGAAGATTGAAAATACAGTTAGGAACTTACCTTTTTATGTAATTTTCCATTAAATCTGGAAATTTATTTCCCCTACTAAGTTTTTGACCACCTACCCTCTTCTGATTGCTATTCCTTTTTTTTTACAATCTTCCTCTAACTTAAAATGTGGAACACAACCATGAAAAACAGCAAAAACTGCTAAAGGTACCTGTTAAGTAACACTTTTCTCTAGCATTTGACCCAAAAGTAGTGATAAATATGAGTCTTACTGACCTATTGAACCTCTTGTTTCTCCAGGATCCAAACCTGTAAACTTTCCCTAAGTAAAAATAAACAGTATAGTTGGTCTCTCAGTTACTTCTTATACTACATCTATCTAACTCTCTAATTCATCACCAATTAACAGTACAAATTTTTATTGTAAAACATTTAAATCATAAAGAAAACATTAGATAAAATTATAAGGAACAGATTAAGATTCAACACCAGTAGATTACAAGGACTAGTATCAAGCAAACTTTGTGAAAGTTGAAAGGAAATTTTAGGAAGGTTTTGAGTAACACTCAGGGAAAGTCAAATCTGCCAAAAGAGAAGACAGTGATGCATACCAGAACTGTGTGATGTGAATATATCACAAACATGAGCCAGTTCTCTGTGCAGTCCCTCTGTGTCCTTAGCTCTAACCTGTTGTGCAGTGTAGCGCTGACCTTGTAGGGCAAAATGCATACTGTTAAAACTGACTTTACCTGGAAACAAGAACCAGGCTCACTACTAAACCAAACCTTCTGTTATCCTACAGTAGAAATCTTGGCTCACTGCTTCCACGTGTTTTGTATTTCAGAAAATTTATATTTCTTTCCATCTGACAAGAAATCATTTCAGTTCAATTCTGCTTGATTTACTCAGTTCTCTGTTGAGCTGTTCCCATGTTTTGGACATCTGTGATGCACTCTGTGAAAGATGCTCATGGACTGTCCATGTGAGCTAGAGGAAGCGTGGTGCAGCATGATTCCAAAGCCCCCAGGGAAAATGATGTATGTCTAAATAATGTATTTTAAAGAATGAGGTGAAGTAAGGATGGTTTTCTTTTAAAAATCATTACACTTTTTGCAAGTCATAGGTCTGTGAATATTTCCTTGCTTGATGTTCTACATTTTATTGGTTTCATGCTTTCTTTCAACACATTAATCACTACTATTTTAAATTTAAATGATGAAGTTGTCCTGTTTAAATTGTACTCTTTACCCAGCATTACTGGGATGTCTTCTATTAATAATAGAAAATAGAAAGATACTTACAAATTCCTTGTACATTTCTGAAGAGAGGAAACCGATGTTGCTTGACAGAATGATCGCACGTTTAAGCAGTTTTGAGATGGGTAAAGTGGAGCCAGTTCTATTGGTATAAACAACCTGGGAGGCCATATTTTTCCACAGTAACAGGCCTGACATCAGCAGCAGCATTATAAGTGACCCTGGTTAAACCGAGACACACACTTCTCTTGATAATCAGATTTCCAAGTCTCTACAGATAACCCTTATTTTGGAATCTTAACCTCTCCTTGCTCTCTAATTTGGCTCTCTAATTTCCTGGGACTGGAACACTTGGCACCATTCACTACACTTACATAGACACATGCACAGAGATAGAGTTGGAAAAGTGAAGGACTTCCTGCTTTTTTATGTTTCTCCCAGGAGTGTTCTGTAGCTTGCAAACTATAGGAACTTAGGTTAATTATGGTCAGAACTGCTTAGTCACCTCTTAACATAGCTTAGTTTGGAGGGAGTTTCTGTAGATTTCAAGCTGTGAGGCACTGTAGGACCTTAAATTTCTTTAATTCACTGTCTGATGTTTGTATTTCATGCCCGGACATGATACCTACACCACAATTCACTTGTTTGTTTTATTTTTGTGCTTTTAAAGAAAACATATATGCTTGCTAGTACTCAGAATGAAGAGAATCCTGTTATAAAAATGCTGGCATGGATAGGAATGTTTTACTCATTATAAAAGTCTTATGCATTTGCTAGAAAGTGCCAGTTGTTTTAGTCATTGTTTTTAATTTTGGTTTTACAATAACTATGGGAGAGAGAATCAGCTTTCATTGTAAACAGCATCAAATTATGCAGATGAATCACAAGATAAGTGATCTTCCACACTCTGTGATTACCAGGCAGGAGAGGCAGCATACTGATGCTGTGGTCCTTGCACTTGAATCATGCACACCTGTCGGACTCTAGGCTGCACCTGTGCCACAGGTACCGTAACAGGGTTTGTTACTAAATCTTGTGACAAACTCCTCTGTGCTAGGGTGTTCAGTGACAGGGATGCTCAGAAATTTAACTGTATCCACTTTCTCCGCTTTATGTAACTCTCACATCACAATCTTTCACAGTGATCAGAGGTGGGTCTAAAGGAAAAGCGTAGAGCATTAACATAGCAATAATTCTCAGCCCCAAAGGGAAAGAGCCAACAGGCAGCTATAAAATTTAAAACACTTTTTATCTTCAGCAATGCTATTCCAAGAGAATTGCTTATGTTAAAGTTTTATCATCATGAAACTGAATTCTACACAAACTTTGATAAATGAATATGGAATTCTGCAAGGAAAATCTAGGTAAATATTATAGATTTATATGTGAATCATTACTCAAGTAAATACCTAAAGAAATGAAGAGACAAATATAAATGTATTTGTTTTGTTGTTGAATTAAATAACAACTGATTTGTAAAATTAAAGCAACATGCAATCATTCATCTGTTATAGTTTTAGTTTTACATATAAAATTTTAGTATAGAATATCACTTATTTCAATGATTCAAAAATGTAAATGTGTGCTTGTTATACTAATATATTATATAACTAATATAATGCTATACTAACATAATAAAGTTTCATTAGGTTGACCAAAGCCAAATGCAAAATTTTGTGTGGATTTGTAGTAGACAATGCCTTAGCGATGGGGAAACTGAGATGGAACTGGAAGATGCTCATTAATGAATACATAAATGTATCAATTAGCACATATATTTGCCATCAGAGAGTTTTACAATGTGCAATAAGCAGACTAATAAATTTATTCTTCATATTATAAGTATTTTATGATTAATTCTAATTTATTTTCTGAAAATGTCACACACTAATTAAAGCAATTACTTAACACTGCCCTGCTTTTCCTATTGAAAGGACATTGTACAAACCAACACAATCAAGTAAAGTACACCACTGCCATCACAGAATTGAAAGTTTCATTAGGTTTACCAAAGTCACACAATTCACATAATAAACCTGAGAACCAGAAATCTTATATTCTGCCTTTTGGTGTTGTGAGGACTGGACTTGATGACTTGTGGTCCTATTCTAGTCCAGAGTTCCCCAATCTCACCATTGCTGGCTTTTGAGCTAGATAATTTCTTGCTCTGGAATCCATTTAGCACTCCCCTGTCCTCTACCTCATAGACACCAGAAGCTCCTTCACTGTTCCACCTTCTCCAGAATTAATACAAAAGTCTCCTAAAATAGCCAGGTGTCCATAGCTAGCAGCATTCTACTACTGGAGGATCTCAAAATGTTCTCCTATGTCCTGTGTGGGTGTATTCCAGCGCAATATTTGGGTAGTACTTCTTAACCATGTAAACCTATCAAATCTTGCCATTAGCTATGTTTTAACATCAACCCATGAAGGATGGTGGTAAAGCCAGAACTCATTGCTTGCTGCAACATACCTGTCACCTTGGCATTCATGGTGATGATCAGGACAGGAAGCACATTTGAGAGGAGAAGGCCTGGCTGTCCCTGGTCCAAGTTCAGATGTTGGTTCTGACCCTTTGAAGCATTCACAAACATATTTGATCAGAGATTCTTTTCTCTTTGCCTAGTGCTCTATATGTCTCATAGCCTGCATAGTTTCAAGCACCAAATAGTATTCTATTTCCTTTTCATAATCAGGAAGATATAGTAATACCTGTATCACAAATGCTTCTGTTCACACACCACTTCACAAACAAAGGTTTTGTCAAAATTTTGCCTCCCTTCACATACTCCACATTGCATGACAAAACAAGCACAGCCACCTTCCTCATACAAATACAAACAGATCTCTTTCCCCAAATCATAAAATAAATTACATTCATACCCCAAGGAACCACTATATGTGAGCTAGAAACATATTTAACTAATTAAATTAATTGAAAATATTAAAAATAATGGAGAGAAGTGGAGACCAGTTTTGGTTAGAAGATCTTCAGGATTTTTTAAGTCCTTTACTTTAATCTTTAATTTCTATAATATCTTAATGTATTACTTAGAAATTACTTTCATTTAATATAAATTAGAAATTTTCACATTGAAAATGACTACAGGAAGTAGAACTTTCTACATGTATACACTTAGATCAGGAGATATATAGCATAAATACTATAAAAGATGAATTTCCCATTCCCTGGCACGTATTGCTTTGGTTTCTTTCATTTTCCCTTGATTTTGCACATTCTATGTTGCTCAACTTAAAATGACATTTTAATGCTAACTTATTTTATAGTATATATTTTCATCTTTATGTTTCTTTTTTATTTTAAAATAAAAAATAAAAATGATATAGACATTCAAACAACATAATAGGAAATTAACAATTGTTAATATATTGTGTATTGTTATCTTGAAAGTAGTTTCTTGGATTACACAAATAAGCAGAAAATGATCACATAATGAAATCACATATTGTTCTTTTTGAAGAACTAACAGATTAATAATGTAGTTATCTTGTATGTGTATATATATATATATATATATATATATATATATATATGTATGTATATATCCCTTCTTTCTTTTTTCCTTTCTCATCTATGTTGTTCTTTCCTTTTGAACAGTTTCTTCCCCTTTCACTTTCACAATATTTATTGAATTTTGGATCTCACTTATTCTATCAGGTTTTTCTTAATACAATGGAGTACTACTTAATACAATGGAGTACTACTCAGCTACACAGAAGGGCCAACTCAAGGTTTTTCTCTGCAAATGGATGCAATTGGATCCTCACAAGTGAAATAAATCAGACTCACACATGTAAACGTCATATTGTCTCCCTAGTGTAAAAACTGAAAATTCATGTTGCTTTTGATTTTAGCATGTACATAAATTTGTGTTATCAACCTTAGTTTACAGATTAAGAAATAGGTCTGGAGAAATTAAATGGAAGTTATATAAATTACTCTATTTTGAAGATAGGTGACACAAGAGTGATTACAAAAATAATTGGGATAGATTTCAACAAAGTAAGTAAATAAATATTTAGTCACCTTTTTGTTATCTTTCTGAGACAGGGTTTTGCTATGGAGGGCAAGTTGGCCTCAAAACCACAGCTATCCTCCTGTCTGAGTTTCCCAAATCCTGGAATTGCAGGTGTATGCCACCACACCAAGCAGCAAATTAACATTTTAAAATATATTCATGCACATAGATACCTAAAATGTGCCCAGTATTGCCTTGGAACATAGAATTTTGGGAAGGTTTTGAAGTCAATCGGACACACAGACACACACATACTCACACCTACATGGTAGACGAAGTAATGAACACAGATGCCAGCCTGTTACTTCCACTTCTCTCAAGTACAGAAGTGGAAAAACTGTAATGAACTTAGCTCAATCTGCACCTTGAATAGTCATGAATTCATGATCATGCTCCCTAAATTTTATTTCTATGCATTTATGACTGGTTTTTTTTTTGTTTTATTGACTGAAATTATATGGACAAATGAGATAATTTAAAAAACAATCTCCTCCTAAGGCATTTCTTTTTGCCAGCATAGTTAATACCACATACCTATATTATCAAAGATCTGACTAGAAAACTTGAAGTCTTTGTAACATCATCTTCTAATCACTGTGCCTCAAAGCACTGCTGAATTTCAAATCTTAAACATTGAATATGGTGATTCACTGGCTCTGTAAATCTATACCCTAAGATTGTTTTGTATACATTCGTAACTAGTAGCTACTGTTTTCCTTGGATGAAGAAAGTCTGAATTATCAAGAAAAAGAAGCTGGGTTATAGAGAAATGAGTACAGTATTGCATCCCTTCCTATCAAAATCGCAAGAGTAAGAAAATCTGCCTGACATTAGGGGCTAGGAATGTAGCTCAAACACACAGGGCCTGTTTAGCAAGTGTGAGATTGGGAGTTCAATTACCAGGACTAAAACAAAACAAGACAAAATAAAACACTGATATTGACAGTTACCATTAAAATAAATGTTACAGCGTTTTTAGATAGCCAGGAGAAAAGTAGTCTAAGAAAACCCAAGTCCTCTGTATTCCCAGGATTCTCAGGAGCCCTTTGACTCATAGGACTACAGAGGTACAGTTCTCAGTACAATGCATTAAAAGCTTCCTTGCTGCTCTGTAGCCCATGTTTCTTGTGAACAGGGTATTGAAATGTCTAAACAAACCCAAAGACTTTTTACACATAAGTTGTATTTGCTCTATTTTTTTGCTTTCACCACTTTCACCTTAACATTCTATGTGCTCTCTGGTGGACCTTTCTCTTTATCAAATTGTATTGTATATTAAAACTGTGAAGAAATTCACTAAGCAGGGTTTCATCTGCTTTTATGAAGAGAACTCCCTTTGTTCACCATATTTGATCTCTTAGATCATGATTAAACAGGGCATTGTTGACTAGGTTTTTCAAATAGCCGAATAAGTAGCTCAAATGATTGTAAATTTCTCACACGATTTAAAAAAAAAAAAGATGAATAAGTTGTTTTGTCACCTGATATATATATATATATATATATATATATATATATATCAGCTCTATTTTAACTCTAAAAGTCATACAATTGGTTTATGTGAATACTTCAGAATAGAACTTATATTTTATGTACAATTTTTTACTTATTCGTATTAAAATTTTGAATATTTTAATTTTTCTCTATCCGTTGTGATGTAATTCATATATAAAAAGCATCACATAATTTAAAAACTGTCTACTTTAAGATTCAGTGAGAGTTTTTAAAGGGTAGATAAATTAAAGTTTTAAAAATCTGCAATAAAACACATCACAAGGATACTTTAAATTATATTGCTAGTAAGTTGCTTTTAAAAAGTAAAATTTGCAAATGATTAGAGGTATATTTTATATTAATTTACAAATTTAAAATTATCATCTTTCAGAATCTGGGCTGAAATTTCAAATGGAATATGTCACTTTCAGTATAATATTCAAGACTCAAAGGGCACACCAGAGAGAGGCTCAGTGGGGTATTGTGAACCTCAATTTTCAAAATAGGCAAAATGTAATGGTTTGACACATCACATTATTTAGATTAACAATACATTTTAAGATATTTTCTTCAGAAATGACCATGCTCAAAACTTGACTTCTGCTAAGATATAGGAGATCATCACTTTCTGGTTCTTTGGGACACAAAATCTTATTCTATTGCAGAACCTTCAAGGCTTTTGTTGCTTAAGTATGAAAATTCAGTGGAAGCAGTTAGAAACATTCTATCGTGCTTTTTAACATCTGTAAGTATGTCTATTTATGTTTCTATAAGACTATGTATCTCTGTAGTGTGTGCATGTTGCTACCTTATCTTATTATTGATACATTTACCCATCCACTGATCCCCCAATCTTCACATTTATCAGTACATGTGTTTGAACATCTGTTCATAAACAAATTCTTCCATTCATTCCTCCATCTACCATCCTTCCATTATAGTTATCTAACAGATAATGATACACTGCATCATGCTTAGTTTCAGGAGATAACTTTAAAATTTACATTCCAAAAATTTAACTATCACAGGCACCACCTAATAAAATAGGATATTCACAGCCACAGATCAGAGCTCCTGAGATCCACAGAGGTAACTGGCATTGATTCTGTGTTTTCTATAGTAGCCAACATGTATGGCATTTCAAGAGAAGAGCTGAAACTATCTATGTAAATCAAAGCCTTTTGGAGGCCTAAGGAAAAAACTGTGCTGATATAAACAGACAAATATTTAGTGTATTTTAAGAGGTTAAAGAAGTGTATATTTTCTGACACATGGAAATACCTGCCTTCCTATACTGCTAAAATTTTGCATACATAGAAATAGTTCTGATTGAGAAATAGAGACTTTTTAAAGTATAAATGCTACCTCTAATTTTATTATACATGCACCTCACTCCCCAATGTATTTCTTTATTATAAGCTGTCAGAAATATCTTTGTTATGTCAAAAGTATTTATCATTTACATTTTTTAAATTTTTTTTAAATATACCATGTTGTATTAGGGCAATACCTGTATACTTAGACATTACCTGCAGTGATAATTTATTGGTAAAATTTCTTACCGTTTACAGTGGAGATGGTAGGAGTAAATGGATGTATTTTAGAAGAATTTATTCCTTGATAAAATAATCTATCAAGGCATCAAAATTCAAAATGATAATCTTTTGTGTTTCAAGATAATGAGGAATACTCATAGGTAAGACGGATCACCAGAATGTTGGCTTTTCTTGATTATAATTAATCAAATAAAATTAAATATTTTGATAAAGGCTTTGAAAATCAAAGTATGATACAGTTTGGAAATAAGTATGATCATGTGAGTTTTCTCATGGTGTATATCTATAAATCAATAAATATTGTCAGGAAAATTATTATTATCTTAACTGGATAGGACTGCCTTAGGACGGAATCAACAGGATATATATTAAGAACACAAAAACGGAAAATTATGCAAGAGTTACATTATTTGGGCTTACAGTATGGCAGCAGGAGAGTCCACAAGGCTGTCTGAGGGCAAGGAAGCTGGAGTGTCCAGGACCTGGTCAGCAAAACAGCAAAAC